GACTCCATATTTTCAGTAGATCGTATTTATGTACTTGCAGTACACAAAGCAATTCACCACCTTCCAACCTGAATGAAATAATCTTGGGAAAAAAAAAAGGCAAGCGTCATCAGAGAATTCTGATTCATTCTAGTCTTGTCTGAAAGTTTTTCTTCCCAGAAAAAAATGTCATTTTTTATTATTTTACGGACCAAGCATAAAGATTGTTTCAGAATTACCATCACCCAGTTTTCCAAGTAAATGAGTAGGTATTTCTTTGTTGCTATTATTGTTTTAAAATATTTACATTCTATATACATACTTTTGATATTTTATAAATATTTGTTTTATAAGTTTATTTTAGTAATTAAGACCTCACTGGAAGTTACTTGATTTTGTGTTGCCACCATCTGGTTACTAAACAGAGAAAAGCTTCAGGTTCTTTAATGCTCTTCTATAACGTTGTACTGCATTCTTAAAATGCCACTTGATACGTCCCCCTCTCTCTCCTACCACAAGCACACATGATTCTATATGGAATTCTTTCAGGAAAAAGGAAAACTACAGGATTCTGAATTAAAAATGTAAGTCAAACTAAACCAAAACCAAAAAAACCCACAACCATTAAAATTCCAAATGCAACAGGATTAGTCTTTTGGCTTCTAGCTTGCACCCATGGACCTGTTTACAGTAATTGCTGTACTCAGCACCTATTTTGCTTTTTTCTGAATGAAGTCCCATCATGATCAGTTCTGAAACTGCGCTCTGTGAGACTTTCATGGAAGTCTGTAGGAATCAGTGAGTTTAGGTACACATATTTAGCAAATGGCGCAGGAAATATCTCAAGGTAAAACTATTATATTTTTAAAAGTTCTTTAGTACTTACATTCTTGAAAAAAAAGAGTTTGTTATTGAAAAGTTTAAAAGTAAATGGCATTTTTTTTATGTGTATTACTACGAGCCCCCTGTCCACTAATTGCCACTGCTGAAAGAATAAAGCTTTTGAAAGATCTGTATTGTCTGTCATAGGTAAAACCCTCAAATAGTAAATATTTTCATATTACATGAAGGGTACGTGGGACAATATTTTAATTTTCTGTGGAGGAAAATATTTCTATTCTCTAATAGAAAATAAAATCTGCCTAATCCACATTGATTACAGCAAGCAAGTTGAAGATATTATGATTTTTTTAATTTATGCATGTTGAAAAGCTGAAGACTTTCCCTCAAATTCATTTAAAGAAATAAAATCAGATGATGAACTCACGGTATCTGTGGGTACAACGAAAATAAAACTTGATCTAAATATAGGGGTCTTTCCAGGGTTTTAGATTCCATGCTCATCCAGAAAATCTACTTCTGAATTGTACATGCAGGCTTATATTATAGTTTCAGTGAACAATTTTTCCATGCATCACCAATTTGATGCCTAGCAACACAAGCTCTTTTTGTTCAAAATGCATAAAGTTAGATGTTATTAAAAATCTTGGCTAGATTCAGATACTCTTTTGTCAGTGAACACAATGCAGGAGTTGTTTCAAAATCAGATCATAGGAATACATTCAGTAGTTTTCTATTACAATATTGAAGTCTTTATGACAACAGAGCCATGCCAACTCCTGAGCAGAGCTGAATAT